TCAATAGAGGAATGGATAATGAAATCATGGTATATATAGTTGTCCTTTGGTTTCCCTAGGGGATGGTTCCAGGACTCCTAGGGGTACCACATCATGTTTGCTCAAGTCCCTCATAGAACGTGGCATGGTACAGTTGGCCTCCATATCCACAGATAAGGAACCAATGGATACCGAAGGCCAACTACATACACAATGGAATATTCAGTTCAGTTCAGTCGCTCAGTCATATCTGACTGTTTGCAACTCCATGGACTGCAGCACACCAGAACAAGAGTTTGAGCAAGCTCTGGGAGTTGGTGATGGACAGGGAAGCCTGGCATGCTGCAGGGAAAAAAAGGGGGGGGGATTATTATTTAGTCGTAAAAAGGAGAAAATCTTGCCATTTGCAACAACCTGGATGGACCTCGAGGGTACTATGCTAAATGAGTAAGTTAGACAAAAAAAGACAGATGCTGTATGATTTCACATATATGTGGAATCTAAAAGCAAAATAAGACTTCATAGAAAAAGAGATCAGATTTGTGGTTACAAGATGTGGGGCAGGGGAGGAGGGTAAGGAATTAGAGAAAGATGGTCAAAAGATACAAACTTCCAGCAATAAATAAATACTACGGAGGTAATGTACAACATGATGACCGCAGTTAACACTACGGTCTGATGTATATATGCAAGATGTTGAAAGTAAATTCTAAGGTCATCATGAAAAAAGAAAACTTATTTTTTTCTTTTTATTGAATCTATATGACAGGATGGATGCTAACTAAATTTATTGTGGTAAGCTTTTAACAATATAAGTAAGTCAAAGCTTTATATTGTACACCTTAAACTCATAGAGTGATTTTTGCCAATTACTACATATGAACTGTGGTGTTGGAGAAGACTCTTGAGAGTCCCTTGGACTGCAAGGAGATCCAACCAGTCCATCCTGAAGGAGATAAGTCCTGGGTGTTCATTGGAAGGACTGATGCTGAAGCTGAAACTCCAGTACTTTGGCCACCTCATGCGACGAGTTGACTCATTGGAAAAGACCCTGATCCTGGGAGGGATTGGGGGCAGGAGGAGAAGGGGACGACAGAGGATGAGATTGTTGGATGGCATCACCAACTCAATGGACACGAGTTTGAGTAAACTCTGGCAGTTTGTGATGGACAGGGAGGCCTGGCATGCTGCGATTCATGGGGTTGCAAAGAGTCGGACATGACTGAGCGACTGAACTGAAGTGAACTGAACTGAATATCTCAATAAAAGCAGGGGGAAGTCCTTAAGAGAGTCTACAGGACCTTGCAGAGTGGACCACTGTCTTCCTTGTTACATACTCTGCTTTTTATATTCCAGAATTTTTTCAGTGGTTCAAGTAATAAGTTTGCTCACCTTAATTGTATGATGTTTTCTTTTGTTCTCCCAAATTTTCAAATAAAAATTTCCTTCTACAGTAATAAAACATCTTAAAGAAAAGGAATTTGTTCAATTCTTATATTTTTCATTTTTTAAAATAAAGTTTTAAGAGAAGTTTGTCAAAATAAATTTACATTAAAAAAGTACCTTCTCAAAACAGAAGACTTGTTCTTAGGCAGCCTGTTATTATTGCTATTTAAAATGTCATGTTTTTCTTTGCTAAATATATTGTTAATTCCTCTCCCCTATTAACCTATTATTCTCCCTACCCTGCCATTTTTTGTACTTTTTATTACCCCCTGCATTATGCAACATTAGCTTGCTCTTAAAAGTTTGTATGAGTGCTCGACAACATCTACTATAAATCACAAATAGATCTTATTAAATTTGAATTCTGAAGTCTGATCCTAGGTGTTGTCTTTGCTCTAAGCCATCCATTTTCAATTATGCCAAGCTGCGAAAGGGGGCAATATTTGTTTCCCCTGATTCCACGAGCAATGTATTCTTTGCAGAAAATGGGTAGAGCCTGGAAATGCATTTAAAAAAAAAACAGGAAAGCAGCATAGAATCTTAATACTCAGAGATAATCACTATTATCACCCTGGTGTGTCCAGTGTTCCCACTCTGGCCCCCTGTGACGTCATCCTGGACTATGACAACAGCCCCTAAGCCCCTCTGTTCCACCTTGTCTTTCTGCCAGATCTTCAGACAAGCCAGACTGCGCCTGTCTCTTTTGCCTTCCTTTACGAAGACATATGTGTCCCTCCCTAAGTTCCTTCAGCTCTCTGCTCAAATACCCCCTTATCAGAGAGACTGTCCCTAATTAGCCCATCTTAAAACACCCCACCCCCACCACTATCCAGCAATCTCTGTTTTCTCTCCTGCTTTCCTTGACTTCTGAGCACTTAGCGCTATCTGATGTGTATCCATGTGTGCATTTATTCATTGGCTAATGGTCTGGCTCTTCTGGAGAGTGGACACTCTATGAGAGCAGGGAATTGGTTTTTGTCCACTGCCATTTTCATAGCATAGAACATAGTACCAGGCAAGTGGCCAGCATGCCATAAATGTTTGCTAAATAAATAAATAAGGGAATGAATAGTTTGGTTGACATTCATTTTACAAGGTCTTCTTTCAAAATATGTTGACATTTCAGTTCTCCTTCACTGGTTTCAAGCACGCCTCGAAACTGGGGCCTGATTTACACAGCCTTCAGAGTTAGGTGCTTGCTCCAATCTGCCAATGGGCTGGTTTCCACACGGGTTATCACAAATAGAGTTGATCTTTTGTGCCCGTCTTAATGCAAAGCATTCATTCTTTTGTGCATCTCACTGTCAGAAGCAAGACTCAGTAGCTTTACAACAGAAAAAAATCCAAGTCATCAGTAATCAAAATGGCAGCACACAATGTCTGGAAGATTTTCCTCTGGGCCATCAAGTATGATAGCTTCATTTCCACTCTTTTCATTTATTTTCCCAGAATGCCTAAGCAACCTAACGTTTTCATTCTTCCTTTTGCAAAATCCCAGCTTTTTGCCACTTCATTTTAAAACTAACATTTAAAGTGAGCATTCCTCTCTAATAAAAATGATAATGATGATAATGTTGATGATGATGAGAGATGAGATTACACTATTTCTCTGGCCATTTAAATCCTCTGGTGGATGCAGCATTCTAAGGCAGCAACACTATTGACCATCACTGTAGTACCATACGCCAGGTGCTGAGGGAAATAATAAAGGTTTGTGTTATAAAGTCATTACCTTGGCCATGGAAAACACTCAATAAATATGTGTTGAGTGATTCATTATTGAGCTCTTTGGTTTCTGTATTCACACTCTGATTCAGTTCTTCTTCTGTTAATTTTTAGGCTAAATCCAAGCATATTTTATGAAAACTTTTATTGCAACCCAATGAAAATAACTATTGGCCAAATTAGGAGTAAAAGAGAACCCAGATAGTATAAGAAAGTATAGCAATATTTCATTTGAAAGCATAAAATAACTGGGAAACTGGTTCACTCTCACCAAAAAGGAGCTTTTGCAGTGGCAGCCACCCAAGAGAGGTAAAAAGTTATCTGCTCCATTTGGATGGTCAAATTCTATAATTCAGACTCCACTTATTCAGACCACGTGATAATTCACACAAGCCTGAGTTGAGTTGAATTCTTGCCCGACATATATTTTAATGAGTTTTGTGAGGGGACAAATGGTTTAAACAAGAGTTGAAGCGAATAGTTAACCTACTTAAGGGAACGTGGCAGACGGTGCTGGCTGCCTCCCCGGTGTGCATTCTTTTATTCCTCCTTACTAACAGAGCCCAGATTCTGTTTAGGGCAGCAGTTCAGCCCAGGAAAAGCATTCACTTTCCCAGAATCTTTGCAGCTCCAGATGGTTGTATTGCCCAGCACAGGACAACGCGATAAAGTGGATGGGGATAAGGTTGTCTTCCTAATGAAAAGGACCAGAGGCAGTTCTCAGGTGTCTTGGTATGTTTTGTCCTCATCCCTTCTCCTGTTTTCTCAGTCTCAAAGGTAAACGTGCTCCCTGGAGGTTGAAGGAGTCATCTTGCAACCATGAGGATGAAAACCACATGGTCAGAATCGTGGGACAGGAAACTAGAAAATGCCTGTACCCTTGGTGGCTTCTTTGAGTGGCTACACCAGCCTTGAACTTTAGACCTAATTGAAGCCACTGCACCTGGTTTCCGTTACATGCAGCCTAATGTAATCACAACTAACAGAGGTCCCATGAATGTGCAATTTGATACAGATATGACAAATGTACCATCAGTGATTTTTATTTTTTACCTGATTGTATGTTTTAGCCTTTGCTGGCCTGGTTCCTATCACTACAATAAACCATAAAATTTTGTATCTTAAAAGCAATGTACAATTAAAAATGTTTCACTGAGAAAGTCTACATGAATATGATTATACAACTTTCATCTCAGAATCGAAGGATCCTTTTTTCATTTTCTATTAAAATCTTTGATGTGGGCAACTGGAGAAAGAGGGATATATCTCAGTCTGTACAATTTCAGAGTCAGAGGAACAGGGCTGGAACCCTACCCCCATCCCTTACATGCTTTATGACTCTGGACACATTACTTAACTTCTCCTTTCTCTGGTCACCATCTCATAAATCCTGTGTTAGTATATTCATCCCAGTTCCTGCCACATCACTGCTGAAACCACTCATTTGCTTGCTTTTCTCTGAAACTGTACTGTAAACATTTTGAAACTAGGGACAGATTCTTACATGACTGTCTTCTCCCTATATCTAGCTTTAGTGCCTGCCCTTCTTCAGATCTCCCCAACCCAAGGATTGAACCTGCATCTCTTATATCTCCTGCATTGGCAGCTGGGTTCTTTACCGCTGGCGCCACCTGGGAAGTGCTTACTGCCTGCCGCCTAGAGGCTGTTTAGTGAGGATTTGTTGAATGCCAAAGTAAACTACTCTGAAACCATAACTGACTCATCAGTTCTTCAAATATATTTTTCTACAAAGGAAGTTTAGAAAACATAGAGTTTGAAGATGGGAGAAGTTAGCTGGAAAGTGGCCATCATGAGCCATCAAAAGGAATATCACCCCGGAAAGCATTGCACTATCCCAGTGCAGTAACGGCACCTCGAATGCAAAGGCAGTAGGCTTTCTCAGTCTGTCTTTCACAGCTCCTTAGTGCAACACGTGGGAATTTCAGTGGCTGCTCAATGGAATTCAAAGTCAGTTTGAAACAAAATGATCCCCTGGACCTAGAGTCCATCACATTCCTTAGACTTGGCTTCCCTCCTTCCCATCTGTGGAGGACTCTCTGTACCCTGGACCGGTCGGCGTGTAGGAGGATAGAAGCCCCTTCGGCACGCATTAACTGCAGTGTTAGCATCGCGCAGCCGGGCTCCGTGTGCCCCTGGGCCTGCAGATGGGAAGTGCTGCAGACATCCTGGCCGAGTGAGCGGATGGCTTCTCCGAAACAAGAATCCACATGCTGCCATGAGTCAGAGAATCCACAACACAGATGGAACACCCACTTTATTTAAAAACAAAGACAAAACCCCTCCAGGAACCCTACAGCTACAGGAGAGAGCTCTCTGATTAATGATACTTACAGTTTTGATTGAGAGCTTGTTACATGGGGCCCTGTGCAAATCATGTCCCAGGTCCCATTTCCTGGCATCCTTAGGAGGTGGATGTTTTCTACTATCTCTGCATTCGCAGATGAAGAAATTAAGGTCAAGAAAGATGAAGCATTGTACCAGAGATTGCTCAGCTAGAAAATGAGGTCATCTGGGTTTCACCTTTGGGCTGTCATTCCAAAGTCCATGCCTTAAGCACTCTGATAAACTACCTCAATGAGCTAATGTCTAATGGGAAACATACTCACCTATACATTGTACGTATATGCATAGTCACTCATATCTACATAAACAAATTTACATACCCATGTTCACACACATGGACACACACACACACACACACACACATCCTCATTTGCCCACACATACAACAGTCAATCTAGGCTGCCCTTCTTCCCTCTCACTCCTCATAAAGGAATTAGCCATGGATTCTTCCTTACAGAAAATACAAAGTGTTAAAAAGTCTCTGCAAAGAGCAAAGGCCTAAAAACACTTTGCAGAACAGGAGGTGATGTTCCTGTATGAGGCTTTTGAAATGATTTTCAATTAGGATCTTCTTATTCTTGACCTCTTGAAAACACTTTTTGCTGTAAGGAAGTTACTTGTCTTTGGTTGGTTTTGTTAAAAGTCAAAAGAATGAATGCAGAGACCTGATCTTCTAGTTCAGGCTTAAAAAAAAAATCCCATTTAATTTTGCGGGATTTTTTTTCCCCATCTTTTTGATACAAAGAGAACTGGCTCCTTTTGTTACACATGATGTCACAGACGTTGAGAAGATAATCCTCAGAGAGCTTCTATTTGAAGTGGTTCAATTAAAAGATGAGTTGTATTCTCAAAACCATTTTCCAGGTTCTGAGATATTTTCTACCTTTTTTTTTTCTTTCCCACAGCCAACACAAGGAAAATGGACTGTGGGTCAGGTAATGTAAGCAACAGACCGCAAGATGATTGCCAAAAATGTAACCACCCCATCAGCTCCAAAGGAAAATATTCATTAAAGTGACACATGTTAATAGTATTGAATTCAAAACACTTGTTTGGACATCCAGATGTCGGAAAGTGCCATATCCTGATTAGCTGAAATATTCTCGGTTCTTTCAGATCTTCCTTCCTTATTTTGATTGCAAGTCGAGTTGCAGGGAAATTCTTTCCCACTACTGTCTACTGATCACATCGCTCAAGCATTTTAAAATCTCACTTGTTTCCTATAAGAAGAAATGGAAAGCACAACCACAAATATTTGTGTAAATGTCACCATGTATTATTGGAAGCTTTGTTCAGGCGAATTATTGCAGCAAGCTCCCCTCACTGGATGCCTCTCAAACACTTGCTACATGGAACACACACCCAGACACACCCACACGCTCCATCCATATCTCTTGGTTTTTCTCAAGTGGGCATGATTCCCACATCTTCTCCCTTCTCTCTGAAGCCTTCAGGTAGAAGGTATATGTTCCTCGTAATTTCAAGCCAAAGGAAAGAAGTGAGGCCAGACAGCTGCTCTCTTCCACAGAAGGCTGAAAACAAAATCTGGAGAAAGAGAGAAAAAGCACCCTTGGAAGACCACCAGCTCAGCATCCCAGCCAGTCATTCACCAAAAAGGAAGAAAAAGAATGAGGCAGCAAGATTCAGCATTAACTCTTTCCTGGAAAGCTCTGAAGCATTTGCCCAGAGTCTCATTTTTACTGAATTAGATCACAAATGGGACCCAGCTTGCTGTTCAGTCATTTGTCACCGAATAGCAAGAATGTGGTGTCCTAACATGGAAAGAATGTCATGCCCTAAACATTTATTTCTGGCCGTGTCTTTCCCAGCCTTGAGATCAAAACTTCAGCTGATAGATAAGCATAGGTCATGGACCCCTTCCGCTCCCCACCCCTCACCTCCCCTGACAGATTGCACCCGGCTTGCCCAGCGGGCAGGTCTATGTCCTCCATATTTTTGCCTTGCTGGGGCTGCCATGATCTTTAACCTCGGTTATGTTTATCCAAGAAGCCTCCCTCAAACTTTCTCACACCCATTCATCCCCTTGCTAGAATGAGGATGCTTCTCGCCAGCTTCCTTTATCTTGCTAGTGCTTCTAGGAAAACGACCGTCTTTTATTGATTGAATAAATAGCGATCGTCTCTCCAAGTCTGTCACTCATGCATGGCCACTTCTATAAGCAGTGTGTGTCCTTGGGCAGTATGTGTGGGGGTGAAGAGGGATCCAGCGGATTTTCCAAGCTTGCAGGTGCTAGACTGGATTATCCTCGGGCAATATGACAAAATGCTGGAATTGGCCTTGCTTCCATAAGATCTGAGCATGTGGGATGATTCACCACATCAAAATTAACAGCCTCTGGCCCAACTGTCACAGGCTTTGGTCCCTGCAGAGTCCATTCTGTGTCAAGGCAAGTGTACTTTCTTACACAGAGAAAAATCTAGATTGGCAAGTTCTCCACATTCTTTAACACTGTGTCTGTCTTTCCATGCCTAGGACTAGCATTTGCTACATGGTAATACAGAATTCAGGGGATTAACTTGATATCAGACTTTTCCAAACTTTAAAAAAAAAAAAAAAAAGCAAAATCCTGAAAGATGCAAAGGAAAACTGAACGACAAATGTTAACAAAACTGAATGACATTTGGATCCAAAGCAAGGGTTAACATTTTATTTCTCTTCTTATCTGAGTTGTGTGCAATGCTCTGCTCGAACTGTTTGTAAAGATGTGTCGTTTTACATAAGAGCCATGATACCCAAATGTCGAAATACCCTTCGAAAGAGGTGGGTACAGACCTAGGGTTAAACCATCTAGGATGAAACTTCAGCTGCACTTCCTGATAATAGTGTGGCTTTGGGCAAGTTACTGAACTTTCTAAACCTCAGTTTCAGAAAGTAGAGGATAATGACAGTACCTTACACTGAGAGATTTCAATGAGGTATTTCATATAAAGCTCTTAGCTCAGTACCTGGCAGAAGAGAAAAGGTTTATCAATGTTAATTACTGTGAACGGTACTCTAACAAATTCTATTTTAAGAAACTGATAGCAGTTTAGTAGTTCTAAGGAATCATTTTGTAAGGGGAAAAAACTTTTGCAAAGTGAAAAATTAAGCCCTAGTTAATTGTGGCATACATATAGATGGGTGGGGTAAAGTTAATTACATCCGTTTCATTAATCAGTTTTTTAATACACACAAAGATATTTACACACACAAATACACATATATTATATACACACATAGGTACTGTATATATGTGCATGTGTGTGTGCTAAGTCACTCTCTGCAACTTTGTGTCCAACTCTTTGCAACCCCATGGAGTGTAGCCTGCCAGATTCCTCTGTCCATGGGATTCTCCAGGCAAGAATACTGGAGCGGGTTGCCATTTCCTACTCCAGGGGATCTTCCCAACCCAGGGATTGAACCTGCATCTCTTGCATCTCCTGCATTGGCAAGTAGATTCTTTACCACTGATCCACGTGTCTATGTATGTATATGCATGCATATATATATATTTCTTTTTCTTTCCCTGAATTAAATATCAGTGTTCCACAAATTGGACGATCTATTAAAGACACACACCAATGTTTTATTCTTCTTTAAGGATTCCAAGTATAAAACATCACTTAGTAACCAAGAGCTTCTTATACTGCAACAACCCAGGCTCCTTTCAGAAGACGAGTTTTAGTGACTCATATGTGTCATCAATGTTACTCCATCTACAGTCTGTCTGCAACTGCCTCCACAGATCTGGTCACCATGAGTACAAGCCTCTAAGGTTACCAGCAGGACTGTGCGGAGTTCCAGCCTCCCCTTAATGTTCAGAACATAAGTCATCACTTAGGTTGAACTGGTCCACACAGACTGGGACTCACTTTCTTACTGAGTAGCAGACCTTCAAAGGATTGAATAAGAGTCTCTCTACATATATATCTCTGTGTCTCCCAAAGACAGAGGAAACTTAAAGTGATTTTAAGCCTGGGTCATGCAATGTCTCCATAAACATTTGAACACTTTCTGTTTCTCCATTCCACTCTGTTCTAATTAACTGCCATCAACTGTGTTCCATGGGGTAGATTTTTCTCTTTGCAAAAAAAGAAAAAAATGGAAAAACTGAAACCACATGAAGAACAACATAATATCTCACCTAATGTGCTCTTACCTCTTTGGCCAGGATTATAGCTCAGCCATTCTAGATGATAAAGATGTTATCCTGTTTGGTTTTTGCTCTCCTGGTTTGGGTTTTGCTTTTGTCATACTTTTAACTTTTTTGTTTGTTTAAAACCTACAAAACTACAGTGGCCATGTTGCCTCTCCTTTGATTTCCTCACTTACCTAGTAATTCTCCTAACTTATCTGCATCTAATTTTGACCACTTAGTTCACATTTTCTTATCAAAAGGTCTCCCCCCAGAAAAAGACTGCCCAAGGAGAGACAGATAATATTTTTTTAAGAACTCATAAAGGACTTGTCTTAGGGATATGGGTGTGAGAATAGGTTTCAGTTGACGTATATTATACATTCAAACCTGTGTAGATCATGTCTCATCTGTGAGTGAGCATTTTGTCCAGGAACAACCCTAGTTACCTTTAGGCAGGAGTTGGTGGGGGGACAATGAGAACTATAGTAGTTGTCCTTCATTTGCCAATTCAGGATCCACTGAAGCTTCAGGAGGTAGAAGAAAGGATGCAAGAAGAATGGAGGGGGAAGTGAAGGGAGAGGAAGATGGGAGGTGAAGTAGCTCTCTTGTCTGTACTAGCAAACAAAA